TGGCCCGCAAGAAAAAAGTTTGGACACCACTGCTCTACAGGATGTGCAGAGAAGTGCCACAGTGGATCTACATGAAATATAAAACATAAATGAGACAGATTTTGAGTTTGCTTTGAGATGCTGTTTCTATAATCTTCAGGGTTTTCACACTCACCACAAAACACATATTTCACCCCGACTTTAAAAGTCATTTTTCTCACTAAACACCTATAGAGCGCCACAGGAAGGAGTCCTAAAAAAAATAAAAATAAAATAATAATAAATAAATAAATAATAATAAAAAAATATACACAGGCAAGCATACACAGGAATTACACACACACACACACACACACAAACACACACACACACACACACACTCTGTATCTGTCACTGCAGGAGAAACTATTCATGCTAAATCAAGCGATCGTCATGCATTCTGCACGGCTTTGCAGTTTTTGTTCAATAACTCTAACCTTCCTGCAAAGTGGATGAAGCAAAGGTTTGTCCTGTTCTGTGACTTTAAAGCTCTGAGTAAACGTGCTTTTAACCACTGGTTCTCAACTGGTCTAGTCTCGGGACCCACCACCAACTCCTCCAGGAAAAATCGCGACCCAAATTTTGGATATTTTTTGACCAATCAGATTCATTTACTGAAAAATGGTTCAGTTTGGACCTCAGTCAGTACAAAACATGTGACACAAGCAAGAAACTGAACAAAACAAACATTTTTAAAAAGTGCTTCTCAGACTTTTTTTACACAAGTTTTCTTTCCAGGCACACATTCGTGACCCACTGAAAATGGCTCAGCGACCCACCTCTGGGTCCCACCCACCAGTTGAGAAACACTGCTTTTAACTATGCATACGGGAACGCATGACATCAGCCTTGTGTATCCTGCGGTGGTTTGGAGCGTTGGTTGTGCACGTCCTCAGAAATGAACGCCACACGTCCTCAAGATGCAATATGCATATAACCACTAGGGGCAGTGTAGAGCTGTGTGGTGATGAGACCAGATGAGACGACATCAGAGACACCAAAGAGCTGCTACAACAACGGAGGAACGTTTAAAAGAAGAGTTTATACATCAAGTCCACAACCATCGACACTATGATGCAACATGCAGACAGATGGTCTCTATTTCTGATTATGTGGTGCTCCCTCTAGAGGTTATATATTGTTACATTTGTTTGACCTTCAGCCTTCAGCCCCCCCCCCTCCTCTCTAGAGTGGATGCTCACTCAGGTCACCATGTGGTGGACTCTGAAGCTTCAGTGTTTATCCAGCTCTGCATGGGTCTGTAAACCTTTCTGTGTTCTAACCTCTCTCCATTTTTCAAAAGCATCTCCAATATTGATCCTAGTTTGAGCACGTTTCTGCTCGTGGAGCTTATTAGAAACATGCAGAGGCTTTTTAGGTCGGGTACAATCACTTCTATCTGAACCTTTTACCCGTTTTAAACTCTACGGTGTAACCCCGCCTCGCCCAATGACAGCTGGTAGCCGCTCCAGCCTGCCTGCAACCTTTGGACGGAAAAGCGGTAAAGATAATGGATGGATGGACATAACATATCTGTCCACGAGCTCTTGTTGGTAACAGCTTTTCTCTGGACGCCGGTTTCCCTCCGTCACCTATTTTCGGTGCAGTTGTCGCCCACAGGCTTCCCTGATGTTGACTGGAATTTGAATTAGGCGCCATGAGCGCGATGGGAAACGGCAGGTTTGTAAATTATGGAATCTGTCCAGAAGATATCAGTGTTGGTGAGTCACTAATGATCTCAAAGTTATTTTATGAAACTTGGACCTGATAAGCTGTAGTGATAAATCTCCCCCCCTCACCTGACTCACCTGAGACAACCAGTAAGAGTAAATGATATTATAGTTATATAAATAATAATGAAAACTTGACTGTGTGTTTTAGCATTACAATCATGTAGCTGTTTTCATTTTTTATTATGTCACACATATATCACAATTTTGATATAAATGTTGAAAGAGTATCGCTAATGTAATACAAAATGATAATCCGCATATGATGAATAATCATGGAGAGTTAGGAGTTAGATTCAGACATCCAACGAGCTCTGGAGAACACGGGTTAATGATTGAAGGTCAGCGACCTGATGAACATCACGGCCGTTTTCAAGACCGCGTACTACATACTTTCTAAATCAGTATGCAGTATATACTGCAGACTACGTTCAACAGTAGTATGTAGTATGACTGCCAGTTGTCGGTTATTTTGCGGTATGCTTGGCTCCGGTTAAACTGGTTTCCAGTTTCCGCTCCTGGAATGCGGAAGTAAACAACGGCCCATCTGGAGGTAAACGTCGCTACGGTGTAGTGAAATAAGCTGACAAGTGCTTCATTTCGATTGTCCTTATTTTACATGGGACAAAAACATTTACCTGTGACATCGGGTCTAAGTTAATTCAGCGGTATTTGATCGTCATCAAGTCGCAGTGAATGTAACGGAGACGGATCTCAATTTTTGAAGTTCTTGGAGTTATTTCCGCTCTCTCTGACCAAGATATTGACCGAAGAGTGTTCACAAACTTAGAAGAAGTTCTCCAGCGCTTCTCCGGTACGGGGCCGCAGCACACACCCGGAGCAGGGCGCCCGGCTTTTGACATCCCACTGCCGTTCTACAGCATCGTGTCCGACCACCATCGTGGGCGACCAGCGAGTGAAATTACTGAGAGGTTTGGAGTTTCAAAGAGGACAATCAGAAGACACATGAAACATCGTGGCCTAAGGTATTCACAGTTAAATTCACAGATTTTATTAAGATTATTAGTAGTGTACTGGCGATGTCCTTCATTTTAAAAGGTGTTAAGTGAAATGTAACATGTAGTTTGTTGGTCTGCTCAGAAAGACAGATCTCTACACCTGTTGCTGATGAGGAGTTGGACCGTATTGTAAGCGAAGTCCACAGAAGTGTCCAAACACCGGCTACAAGCTAATGCGTGGACATTTGAATGCTAGAGGTGTGCGTGTTCCAAGTGAGTATGATCCAAATATGAATAAATATAAATAACCATGAACTAGGCGCAAGGTCAATGAGAATATATATTGTTAAGGTAAGGCTCATGTATGTGTGTATTCTTTTGCAACGTAGCGGCTGATATATCTGAAACTCATTTCCAGGGTAAATCCAGATTTGTATCCTGTTATTATGAAGTTTTATATATCATGTTGATGATAGATAAGGTGAACTCTGGTCATTTTTGAGACTGTGGTGGTTTGTACTGGATTTACAAATTCAAACATTCGATATCAAACATGAAGTTAATCGAGGTTGTGTCGTTTTAAAACATGTGGTATCCAAGCGTGAACATTTTGATGACCTGAATTTTATTTTTTTATCCAGGAGCTAAATGTTGCTGATGATCCATGGTGTTGCCATTTATTATTATTTATTTATTAACACCCTAACACTATCAAAATACTTCTAAATATTTGAAACTCTGGTATTTTTTTTCCAGTATTTCTCAGTTAGATTTTTAAGTGTTTTTTTAAATAAATAGCAAATGAGTGTATGATTATTTTCTGCTCTAAAGTCTCAAGACTGAGAGTCTTTGCACAGAGTGGATGCTGAGGAGTGTACATGAGACGTCTACGGCTGCATGTAACAAGACGACGGCAGTATTCTGTTCCTGGCCCAAACTCTTTATGGCACATAGATGGTCACCACAAGCTTATAAGGTATCAGTGATATTAGTTGATAAACAATGCAACTTTCTATAGATGTCCAAAGAAATGATCACATTAAAGCTTTTTTGTGTTCAAAACTGTCTGACAGGTGGAGATTTGTTGTCCATGGTGGGGTGGACGGATTCAGTCGACTGGTGGTCTACCTGAATGTGGCTGGCAATAACAGGGCTAGCACTGTCCTACAGAGCTTTATCAATGCCGTTCAGCAGTACGGGCTGCCGTCAAGGGTACGGTCTGATAAAGGAAGAGAGAATTCAGACGTAGCAGAATTCATGATCAGGAGCAGAGGTACCAACAGGAACTCTCACATCACAGGCAGAAGTGTACACAATCAGCGGTAGGTCAAATATATCTGTTTGGTGACTACTTGTACACAGTGGTGGACAAAGTACTCAACTCCAGTACTTGAGTCAAAGTATTGATACTCGTGGTCAAATCTTACTCAACTACAAGTAAAAGTTGCTCGGTCAAGATTTTAGTCAAGTTAAAGTACTAAAGTACTTACTTTTAAAAATACTTGAGTATTCAAAAGTACAAAGTACATTTTCTAATATCAGTGCATTGCTGTATTGTTTTCTCAGTGCTTACACAGAACCTTGTAACTCTCTGAAACCACCTAATGATGTATTGACTTACAAGTCTATAGAAACACCTGTAAAAACTTCAGCGTAAAAATGCAATCAAAAACAATAAGGACAGCTATTGTCATTTAATTTTTTTATTTAAACATCCCCACCCAAAAAAAACAGGAGGGCCTTTTTTTTCTCCCCGTACATTCACTGTGGGGGAGTTGCAAGTTTACTGTTCAGTCCATTACTGCGAACAAACTGCAACTCTGCTTTCATGAACTCATCATCCAGTTGAACCACTTGGCTACATGGCAACATAACCCTTGCCTTAATAAAATCTGTAAACCTGCATTTTTCCATGTCTGTGGAAAGTGATGGAAATCCCTAAAAGATGGTGCACATTTAGTCTCTTTCCTCAGCTTCTCCTGCCATCTCCATTGCCGAGTTTTGTTTGAATGAAGGCGGGAGAGCTTGCTACACTGAGCGTTGATGACGTATTTCCAAATCCATCCCATGTGTGAGCGGTGACTGTGATTGGTTCCCTTCTATGAGGAGCACAGCGTGAGGCCAATTGCATTTTAGAAAAGAAAAACACCAACAGCTGACTACAAAGCTATGCTGAGCCTAAAAGGAACCAGTAACGACGAGCTTCCTAGAAATGTAGTGGAGTCGAAAGCACAATATTTATCTTGTAGTGGAGTGAAAGTCACAAGTTTCCAAAAAAACAAATACTCAAGTAAATGTACTCCGTTACTGTCCACCACTGCTTGTACAAACCATAGCAGCTCAATGTATTTTAAAGCTTGAGATTATATATTAATTAACAATTTGTCAATTGCATTCTAATTGCAGAATAGAGAGGATGTGGAGAGATGTTTATGAGCATGCCCTAGACCTCTTCTATCAGATCTTCACTTCATTGGAAGATCAGGGAACACTCAATCCAGACAACCAAGTCCATCTTTATGCCCTGCACCGGATCTTCCTTCCCCAAATTCAGAGAACCCTCAGCTCCTTCAGAGATGCTTGGAACTTTCATGGACTTAGAACTGAAAGGAATCAATCACCTAATGAACTCTGGAGAAGATACAGAGAGCAAGGCCCCATGGAGGATCCTGCAGAGGTTAAAAAAAAGATAGTAGTTTTACACTATTATTGAAACCTTTTGAAAATATATTCATATTTTGTTGGTCAGGAGATACAGGTGTTTGTCACTGATGTTTAGCAGATTTATTTTTCCTCAAATTTCTTAGAAGAAACATTTCAGACAGATGATAATTGGACCCACTATATTTTAATAAAAGGGTTTCTGTTATCACTTTGTTCTTGTTTTTGAATGAAACATGAGAATCTCTTCTGTCTCCTGAGCTCTGACAGAACAACATCTGAGCAGCAAAGTGCCTAAAACTTAATTTGTCACCAACATAAGGACCAATGATCAATCTCATGAATCTTGTGTGATGACATGTCATAGTAGTTTAAACAATATGTCAATCAAGGTTATCCTCTGTTCAGGTTTATGAAGACTATGGGATCGACTGGAATGGGCCTCACAATCAGCATGGAGACACTGTGTCAGTTCCTGAGATTCAGATGGCCCGTGAGCTCTCAGATGAAGAGGTTGCCATTTTGCCAGTTTCAGGAGTTTCTTTAAATGATGCAATTGGATCATATTTGGAGACAGTGCAAGTTTTGTCAAGAATCATTGGAGACTGATATCTTAAGCAGGCCTTTTATTTTATTTATTGTGCAAATGTCACTCATGAATTAGTTAACTTGATTTGTCAATAAAAATCTGAAATAATAATATGCTGTTTTAATGCAAATAAAACCAATTTTTCTAGCATCAAGAGATATTTCAACAACCTCATGTAGCCAATGACAACAGGCAAGGACAGCAAGGTGATGCACACTGAAGTATCAAACAGTTGACAGAAGAGCAACAACAAAGCAGTGTCATTTTCAGGGAAAGAAAATACTGCACTGTATTTGAAATGTTAGAAAAACACTGAACTCACTTCACTCAAATTGACCTTTTTCTACTGAATAAAAGCACAGCAACATCATTGCCTGAAAATACTTAAACAAGAGCAAATCCAGTGTGTGCACTGTCTATGGCAGCAACAAGTGCTTCCTCAAAGTCTTTGTAGGTGTTGTAATGAGCTGGCAGCTTCAGTGTTTCAAAGCATGTGGAGGATGATGGGAAGGTTCCCCCGGAAAACTCCACTTTGAGTTCTGGAGGGAGCATTTCCCAGCCGACCCAGAACTTCAGCAACTGAGCCAGAGTATCTGATGAAGCTAAAAGGTCATAAAGTGGATTAAGAACACAGTGCACTGTAACTGTTCAAATCCCTATGCATTTCATATATTCTACAGTGTTAAGTGAGATGTTTATGGGACATAGAGACATTGGTAAACATGAAAATAAATTGCAAAATAAGATAGCTATACCTGTTTCAATGAACATCCGTAGAAAACCAGTGATGCGGCACTTGCACTCAATGTCAAGTTCTTCATCATCACTGTCCTCCACAGGCCATGTGATTTTGTCTAGGAACATCTGGAAAAAAAAAGTTTGAAAAGTATTTTGGTGTCTAGGATAATTTATAATTCAGCACTGATGAAAAGGAATATAGATTACAGTCTTGGTAATTGAGAAAATATCCAGCTCAGTAAATTAGACAATAAGATTTGCACACACATTTATTAATATTTTAAGTATTGTTAATAAGTTGGATGTACTAAATCACCTGGGGTACAAACTGCATTCCTGCCATTTTCAGAAAAAGAAGTGGGACAACATCTGGCCTTGATGTCAGCAGGGGCCATAGCATCACATCTTTCAATCCCTTTCTCAACTGTTTAATTTGGCGCATGGTCCTCCCGATGACCTACAAGAAAGGCCAAACCCATATTACTGACCAAATATTAAAATTCTACAAAAGTCAGCACAGTAGAAAGTGTTTATAAAACTCTAATGCAGTGCTTAACAACCCTATAAAACCATTTGTATCATATTTGCTACGCAAGTTTCTGAGACCTCTGTCTTATCAACATGATCAAAACTTTCCTTTAAAACCTGTTGTATATGACCTGATACATGTATTCTGCCCCTAGAGGATTTGCACTCTACTGCAGGCAGTGGAAGGGCTTTTTTTGACCTTTTAAAAAAATGGCCACCATCATGCTAGCATCCACACACTTTCAGCAGGAAAATCTTTGCTAATTTTCAAGAAGTTACAGTAAGAATAACATTTATATTGTTACTCATTCTTTAATAGGAGTATATTCTGTATTAAAACAATGCATCATTACTTAATAATTCATTCTTCATATTACAGTTAAATCGTGTTAAAAATGTGTGTATCACATTTGATACTGCAGGTATATAAGGTGCTTTATCCTTGAACGGTCATTCTAAATTTTTGTAATGTAATCTACATCATGCCTACCAATATACAAACACACACTATTTTAATGATTTAATAAATCTAATTAATGACTGAAATGCCATTTTAAAATACATTTTGGGTATTTTCACAATAACAATTCCTCTGAAATCATAATCGCTACGCTATATTGACCAATTTGTTATGTGTGTATTTTTAGATGTCAAAAAGAATAGAGGAAGAAGTGAGAAAACAAACGTACATTGAAAATGTCATCAACATGATAATGGATGGCAATTCAAGTGACATAGAGCAGTTAGGGAAGATGATGAGGAGGATGAGGAAGAATGGACTCCTCAGGCCATGCATGATGATGGAAGTTCAGATAGCAGTGATGAGGAAGACTATCAAGAGGAAAGTGTAGCCCAGACAAGCACAGACGTTGAGATCCCAACAACAACACAGGACACAATCAGAAAGGAGTCAGTGAAGGCCAATGCACAAAGGAAAGAATACAGATGGAGAAAAATAAATATCAAGCTCCATCTATCATTTCATTGCAAGTGTTGAGGAAGGCACAGAAGACAGGTGTGACTGGACACCATACATGTATTTCAAACAGTTTGTCACTGATGAAATGCTAGAGGAAACTGCAGAACAAACAAACCTGTACAGTGTACAAAAAGAGGGCAAGTCAGTAAACACAACTGCCAAGGAAATAGAGCAGGTTCTAGGCATGTACATTCATATGGGGTTAGTACAGATGTCCTCTGTGAGAGCCTATTGGGAGATGGAGACAAGGCTCCCTGCAGTTTGTCATGTGATGTCTCGAGATCGGTTTCTGAAATTGCTGACAGTGATTCACTTTCAGGACAACCTCAGTGTGTCTGATGATGCAAAGAAAGATAAACTGTGGAAGCTCAGGCCATGGTTACAAAAACTGCGAGAACAGTTTCTCTACATACCTCCTGAAGAAAGCCATGCAGTTGATGAAATCATGGTGCCATTTAAGGGAAAATCTCATCTACGTGTCTACATGCCTGCAAAACCTCACAAATGGGGTTTCAAAATGTGGGGACGTGCTGGACAAAGTGGCTTTCTTTATGACTTTGATATTTGTCAAGGTGCAGAAAATCCAGACAGAGAAAAGTCTGAAGTAGGTGTTACAGGAGAAGTTGTGCTGAAAATGACATCAACACTTCCAGCAGGAAAAAATCACAAGGTCTTTGCAGACAACTACTTCACATCAGTTCCCCTGGTGCAACACCTAAAAGAAAGAGGAATCCACTACGTTGGCACGATCCGGATGAACAGGATGAAACACTGCACCATGATGGATGAAAAAGAATTGAAGAAAATGGAAGAGGGTCAATGGACTTCAGAGTGAACCAGGAAAACAACATCGTTGTAAGATGGTACGACAACAAAGCAGTGAACCTGATTTCCTCTTTTGTTGGCACTGAACCTGTGGGAAATGTGAAACGCTGGATCGCAAATCCAAAACTCACATAATGGTTCCCAGACCAGCCATTGTTGAAACATATAACAAGTTCATGGGAGGTGTTGATCTCCTTGATATGCTGTCTGCACTTTACAAGTTCAGCTTCAGATCCCGAAGATGGTACATGTACATCTGGTGGCACACTGTTACAGTGGCAGTCATCAATGCGTGGAACCTCTACAGAAGAGACCAGAAGAAGCTAAACCCCAAAAGAAACCCGTGCCTCTGAAGGTTTCAGGCTTTGGTTGGCAGGAAAGGCCAAAATCAGGTGTGGCAGACCACTATCCTCTCCAGAAGAGACTCCAACACCACCCCGTAAAAGACCAAGCTGCAGTGTGCCTCTTGATGTGAGAAGGGATGGCATTGATCATTTTCCAACATGGGAAACCCGACAGAGATGCAATCACTTCTCACATGTCTACTGTGAAAAGTGTAAGGTGCATCTTTGCCTGAACAAGGACAGAAACTGTTTTTGTGCCTACCACAAAATGAAATAAAAAGGCTGTAAAAAGTGTTATGTTAAAAAAAAACGAGAAAAGCTTCCTGAAATGTGTGCAAAAAATTGCCAAAAACGCCGATGTATCAAATGTGCTACAAACAAATATCATAAACAACATGATATGAGAAAATTGGGGATTTTGTTAAGGGTTTAATAAACATCTCAATTCCAAAAGAATAGAATTTCCTGTTATTTTTTCATGTGTCAGGCTTTACAGGGTTAAGATGTATTTTTCCCCAATTATATCCTTTCATATGCAACACCAACCACTCCTGCCTAGATTACAAGTTAAAGAGTGTTTAGGTTCTGTAATAATCCTGCTGCAGTTCCAATTAGTTTGTGATTGAAATACAGATGTGCAAAAGAAATGCAGACGTGATAGAATTGCTTAGCTTGAAACATAATTGATGGATAAATGGGGGATGAGTTCAATTTCAGAAGGAGAATTCACCAAATCAGCAGGAGAAACTCACCGCGTGTACTAGAAGTTTGTTATGTAGCCACCTCTGATTCGTTTTAGT